GGCCAAAGAGCCCGAAAAACCCACAACAACAATTACTGCATAAGCTTCTTCCTAATAGCCCAGGTTTGTGTTAACCCAACTTCCCCTGTATCTAGACAGATTACACATGCACCTCTTTCTGTTTTTAACCCACTCTACTCCTACAGCTCCAAGCAACCCGCGGCCGAAGCGAAGCCCCGGAACGGCGGCGGCCCCGCCAAGGGAGAGGGGAACGGTGGTGGCGGCGGCTGAGACATTATCCCGTCAGGAGAGCCGAGGCCTAGCGCTTGAACGTTCTCACGCCTCCATTTCCCCTCAGGCAGCGCGCTTCCGGTAGGGAACAGGAAGTAGCGGGGAAAAGCTGCGCCCCCTAGGCGTTGGGAGGAACCGCCTTATCAGCGCCATCCATTGTAAATCAGGGGTTCCTGAATATTTTTGGACTAAAACTCCCAGAAGCCTTCGCCGCCAGCTGTGCTGGCTAGGATTTCTGGGAGTTGTAGTCCAAGAAGATCTGGGGAGGTTCCCAAGGCTGGGAACCACTGGGCTGCATGATAAAGCGTTTCCCTGCCCAACCCTAGTGTCTTCCACACATGGGAGGAACTGGAAGCCCCATTGTAGGCAGGGGAGTTGTAGGCTGGTCAAAACTTCTGGAGGGCGGCATAGGGAAGGCTGTTACAGGAATAGGGATGCCCCCCACCCCCGTCCTGCACTTGTCAGTTCCAAAGCTTACATAATAGGAAGCAGGCCTCTGAATTCACCAGCATTCCTCTGGACAAAAGAGGGCAGACCCCAAATTTGGTCCCAATCTGAGGTTCACATATTGACCTTTTCCCCATTTCCAGGGTTGGTGGTGAAGGGAAGGGAGAATCACCAATGAATCAGTAATTTAAAGAAGATTTTAATGTAGCTTTGCCTAGATAACTTATGTCTACCTCTAAACAAATGATGGTGTAGCGATTAGACAACCAACCCAGTATGTAGTAATATGTTGGGCTGGGAATTGGGAGCTCTGTGGGTCAGCCACTCACAAGATTTTCATGAAGGTATGGGGCTAAGGGGAGCCAGGTAAGCCCCCTTGAGCTCACTGGAGGAAACAGTCTTAGAATTATTCTGAATTACTTCAGAAGAGCTGTACGTAAAGACTTAAAAACCAATTTTAATATACTGACAACAGCAAAAATACCAGTCTGTTCTTTTTGGAAAATGCATCAGCATCACTTCCCTGCCCATGCCTTGATTCCTATGGATGGGACATCAAGATAAAATTGACCTACCTAACTGGAATATGATGCCTGAATACCTTACCTGGTTGAGATGGGGAGGACTTGTTACTTTCTGGAATTAAGATGCAGAAGGCAATATTCATTCCGTGCATTGCCATAAATTAAATTACTTTGACTTTGAAACTGAATATGAAAGCTGGACAATGACGGGAGGTGGGAGAAGAATAATTCCTATGACTTGGTTTTGGAGAGGTTTACAGGTAGCATGGACTGCCAGAAAGGCAAAGGGTTTCTAAGTTAAATAAAGCCTGAGCTTTTAAGAAGTTTAAATGACTGACAATATCCTAATTTGGACATTATCATGAGAAAGGTAAACTCACTACAAAAGACAATAATCTCAGGAAAAGTGGATTCTTCCCCATTGGAACGCATTAAACAGGTTTCAATGCATTCCAATGAGGAAATGCTTTTCGCTAGACAATGATTTCACTAAACAGTTATTTCAGTGGAAAGGATTATCATCGTCTAGAGAGGCACCACTGTACTTGGATCCCTTAGTGACCAAGAACTTCATAATAAGGAGAAAGGCAAGAACATATCTTTAACTGGCTCGGAAAATACATAGCTACTCCATACATGCTCCCACCATGGTACTACTTTAAGCTAAATACAGTAGGACCCCCCCATATCCGCTGGGGATTGGTTTCAAGCCCCCCGTGGATAACAGGGAACTCTATATATATATGTAGCATGGTTAAAAAAAAAGGGGGGGAACAAGTACAGTATTCATAGCATGGTCTCTTCCTCTAGTGGCTGGTTCTGGTAACACATGTGAAAATATATATTTTTTCTTTTCATTTTTTCAGACAGGATATGTGAATCAGTGGATACTGATCCTGTGGATAGGGGGGTCCTAATATAGCTTAAATCAACAATTAACGGAAACCAAATTCACCCCAAACCTTCATATACATTTCTCCACATAAAGGAAACATAACGTAAGCATATATTGATTTTAATTCCAGAAATCAAAAAACATACAAGTCCTTTTGGGGTTTTACAAATACTCCGCTAAAAGATCCAAGGATCTCTGTTAAAGCAGAATGTTTTCTGCTTTGCTAGAAGTTAAAATTAACAAGACGTGGGAGCAGCATTTAAGCTTATAACTTAAAATAAGAAATTTGTGCAAACAGTAGCTACTGATTACTTGAAAATTATACGACTACACATTACTTCCTTGTGCCTCTTAATGTAATCAGGTAGGCTGGGAAAAATATCTGGCACCAAAAAAACTGATGCATGAGGGTTCCAGTATGTTCAATAAAATGTACTATATTAAAATACTGGTACAGAATTTCAAATATTTTGTCTATTTCCTCCAAGAAAGGTATGACAAGTTGCTTGTTTACCTGTTCTCATAATATTTTTGTGTGTGTAATATTTAAGTAAGTAAATATTAATGAAATCTTTGGAATTACATCCAGTTATTTAATGCACTGCATTATGTGGGACAACAGCTCTGAAACAGGGCACTAATTCAGAACCTGTTTATCTCTAGAGCAGTTCTGCTGGTTGTAATCTGCCTCCTATGGAGTTTGTGCACCAGGAAGTACTGTATTATCCCTTTTAACCCTCTGATATCCAGTTTCTAAGGGCAGTTTCCATAATAAATGTAACAGGTACCTCTAGCTCTCACTGCATTTAAAGCAGATATATTTAACACATACTGAAAGATCTTCAAACTGAAGGAAGGAAAGATATTCAAAATAGTGAATCTTTATTTTTATATATATTTATTTCCAGGCCCAATTTGTATAGAATGTTATTACTATAAAATTGTGTAGCTACTGACAACAGCTATACTGCATTGTAGAACTGAAAAAAAATTAGGACTGAGCTGAAAGTTATTTGGGAACCCTTTAAGTACGAAAAAGGGGCTTCTGAGGGGTGGCATTCTCTAAACCCCTTAGAAATCTTCCCTTTTCCACACTGTTCATCGCTGTTTCCAGCCATCATAGTTTGGGACTGAAAAAGGACCTCCCCAGTCCTTGTAATGCAGTAATGTCAGACAGCAAATGAGAGGTTGCTGTGCAAAATACTCACGTTCTCAGTGTCTGCTCTTTATATAGTCAAAACATAGCCTACATGGCTATATTATTGTTACTTAGGAGATGGTCTGTTTGCATTTCTCCAAAGGGTGCTAGTTCCACTTGACTGAGACGAGGTCCCAATGGAGTATTGCTGGAGTCATCTAATAATCTGCACCAGTAATTCACAGCGAGCTTCCATTAGGGCTGGAGAATTTGCTACAGATCACACCTGCACACATGAGTATTAAGTGCCTCATCTCTGCAGCACCTTCAGTATAAAATGTCTCCCCCAAGACAGTCAAAGGGAGAAAGGTGAATCTTGCAAAAGAGGAAGTGTTTATGCAAAGACCTCCGCCCTGCTTAATCTCAGCAGTAAAAAAAGTAACTTTGTTTTTCAAAACTGAACGAAGTGTAATATACAATTCATTTCTGAATATTATGTCGCTGAAATCCAAGTCCACTGAACAAATCAATGTGATGTTACAAAAAAATACATGATCTGTTTTCCATTAACGCTGCCATTTCTTGATCATGTATTCTATTCAAGAGAGATCCAATGTTATTAATAGGTGGCAAAGTCAAGTGTGGTCTCAAAATAAAAACATTAAGTGCATTTTCTGCAGAACAATCTGATATTATTTAATTGTTTGCTGCATCTGCTTGTCGAGTCCAACTCTCTTCTTCTACTCCTGAATCGTATTCTTCTTCAGAAGACTCTTTAGTTGGAGCCCTAAAATTAAATTAGGTAAGGATCAAATATTTTCCAGTAATAAACAAAACAGAAAGATCTTTCAGAAAGGAAAAACCATGAATGATGGACTTTGGAATTCAAATGTCCGGACCTCAAAGCCAGAATCCAAAGAGGAGTTTAACTTCAGCACAGTGTACCCATATTGTATGGCTGTAACTTACATATTTGAGAAGCGGGACAATGAGAAGTGAGGTTGAATAACATAACATGAACATCAATCACTACAGTGAAAGCATAAACATTTATGAGAGTCAGTGTGGTGTAGTAGATGGACTAGCACTCAAAAGACCTGGGTTCAAGTCCCCACCTGATCATGGAAACTCATTGGGGAGGTGCCAGTGGTAAACCACTCCTTGAACATCTAACACAATTTGAAAACTCTATTAGGGTTCTCATATGTTGAATGCAACTTGACAAAATGTAGCACACTTTGGCCAGAATCCTGATGTAACAGCTCTTACACTCGCAAAGCTGCATCAACAGGATTCTAGCCACTAACTAGGAGTCTCCAAATACAGATTCTGCACGCAATGCCCAAATGTGAGTAGCAGCTAAAAATAGCTGCCTGTGTAAAAAGACACACAAGATGATATTATCAAAAAGATCAAAATCAGGAAATGATGTCCAGTTCTCTGATCAATCCAATCTGGTGTTCGTATTCAAACATTACCTGACATATCCTGGTTCTTTTTTGCCTTCCACAACATCTTTGTCAACCTCTACACCTACAATGTCAGAATTGGGTACTTCAAACATTGGTTCCAGCAGTAATTTCTCCTAAAGGTGAAGAATAGAATAGTCATCAAAATTTTGTTCACAACAGACTTCACGATACCTGTTACAACATATACCTAACAAAGGATGCCAAAATTCCTCCTGTGTCTAAATACAGCCTGAAAGGCTTGCCTTGCTGTGACACCAAGGTTTAAGACACTTGCCAAAAGTCTTGCCACAGTGCTATTCTCCTAGCCAGGAGTCTCCTTATTACCACCATTAGTGAATCCTTTCTTGTAATGTTGGCAACCATGGCCTGCATGCAGCCTTTTCCGCCCACTGCAGCTGTGTAGCCAAAAAATTAATTCTAACTAAGGTGCAAAGCAAGCATAAACCATATTCTGAAGGATTGCACTCCCCACAGCACAATTCTTTTAAGTAAAAATGGGGGTGGGGAGGGTTTGTTGCCCCCCAGCATCACCTCTGGTGGGTTCCAGCAGGTGTGAAGAACTGATACATGCATCCACTAAAGCTAATCATGCCTGTTCTAATACCTCCTAAAACACAAAGAATGGCTCTAATGCAATGCAAGTTGAGACTGCCGGTTCAAGAAGGAAAGTTTTGGAAATCACAAAAGATGGAACACTGAAAGACAGACAGATATGAACTCCCTACTGGTAAAATTATTCTCTATAAACCCCATCAAGTGAGTTAAGAGCTATGAAAGCAGACAGTGCTCTTGTTTGTCTGAATGATGTGGAAGAAAACATCCATAATTCAATGATGCCTCCATGTTCTCTTTCAAAAGCAAAGGACAGCTTTGCTTCAAACAACACATTTGTTACTTTTTGTTTTCTGCCACCAACTGTTTGTAACACCATTACCAGACTTGATTTAGCCTTTTCCGTACCTACTGACTCAGAGTTAATTTACATCCTTAGAATTATCAACAATGTCAATGGGACTGTACAACTTCAGAATGATGGGGAGCACGTAGATTGAGAGGTGACAGGAAAAGTCTCCTTCCAAATGGAAGCACTAGTACTTAAAGCTGAGGGCAGGCTGGAAGTGTTCTTCTTGATATGAGAAAACCCACCTGATAATTTTGTTGTTGTTTATAAATAAGGCTCCACTGAAGATAACTGCCTTAAAACCTTTCTGTTGTGAATCTATACTTATCTTCAATGTAGAGATGATCAAGAGCAGCGAGGAAAGGCCACACAAACACTTACCATTATAGAGCGAAGACCTCTAGCGCCGGTCTTGCGTTCTAGAGCCAGTCTTGCTATAGCCTTCAGGGCATCCTCAGTAACATTCAATTCACACTGAAAAACATAAGGCAAAATTACATTTTGCTAATGGTATCATTATCCACCACTACTTCCCAGCTTTTTTTAAAGCCATATGCACTTTTCTTACATTTAAACAACTGCAATAAGATAACAACCACCTAAATATATCATTTGTCCTTTTATTTTTGAGCAAGGTAAGGCACTTGGTATTTTTAAAAGGCACCTGTCTTCTAGCTACCATTTTAAAATGAATACAGTGACAAGAAAATACCCAGCTAAATATTGTCAAGTAGCAAGAAAACAGCCAGACCTTGTCCATGCTGAATAATGCCTGATACTGTGGAATCACAGCATTCCTGGGCTCAGTTAGAATCCGTACAAGGATCTTCTCATCGAGACTATGCAGGGGAACCACCACTGGCAAGCGTCCAACAAACTCAGGGATCATGCCAAATTCAATCAGGTCTCGGGCTTCCACATGCCGAAGCAAGCGGTCTTTTTCTTCCATATCCTGCTGCGAGCTGGAATCTCCACCTAGATTAGCCAGGTCTGCAGCTGCCGCAGCTCTTCGGCCTTTCCCCAGATTTGAGGGCGTTCCAAAACCAAGATACTGCAAGACAAAGTTTGTGACATTTAAAAACAAAGCCATACTGTCGTTTTTCGCTTTCTATAAAGTTGGAATATCTCCAACTATAGATACCATTATAGGTGACCGAATTCTTTACCAGTTTATTATTTAAACACGACTTCAAAAGATTTCAAGTATGATTTTCTCTACATCTATCCCATTCTTTCAAATGAGGAGGTGAGAATAAGTGTACCCTTGCTAGTACTCTGTGGTTATGACAAGCTACACGTGAGTTCTCCATAACTTTTGTGGCAAGACCTCAGTTCTAGTTACTCATATTGTAAAGTAACCATTCATGCACAAGATTCTGAGATTTTAATTCTGCAAACTATTTATTTAAAGTATTTATATGCTATCTCTCTCCTAAAGACCTTTGGGTAGAGTGGGCGGCATATAAGTTAAAGGATCCAAAGGGCTAAATTCACTGTTCTATGTTGAATGGACTAATTGAAATGAATGGGACTTCTTAATTGTAACTAAAATCGTATTTATTTCAACAAATCTGCACCAGGTAATGACAATATTTAGATTTACCCAATAACACCAGCAATGGCTTGCTGCCCCAATATATGACTGCAAAGAGTCATCCCTTTATGCCCACCTGCCCCTGTCAGAAAGTGGGTCATCCACGAAAATTCTCTGGCAAACACCTCTTTTCCTTTCCCAACACTGCAACTCTCTTTCCTTCTAGAATAATAATAAAGATATTCTGGATAGCTGAAATGTACAGTTTTAACTCAGCTTCTCCTTACCTTTTCATTTTTCCTCCGACTAATGATTCTATCGAGACCATTAAAAGCACCAGAAGCTACGAAGAGAACATTGGTTGTATCAACCTGCACAGTCTCACCACGTAATTTGCGGGAATTCTTTTCTGGAACATTCACTATTGTACCTTCTAGTAACTTTAACAAGCCCTAAGTAAAAACAGAATAGGAATAATCAGGTCTTTCATCATACTTCAGAACAGAAAACTTACTCATCATGCTTGATGTCCTACAATTTGCAAACTGTACAACGACTGATTTAAAGCTATTATTCCAATCATGGTTGCACAGAGATTATTTCTCATTGAAAGCAACAGGGACTGCTTTCAAAAGAGGCCCAGGCAGAATATCAGATAGTAACCAGTGGGGCTGCTGGATAGCCTAGTGGCTTAGGCATATGGGCTGGGAGTTCAATTCCCCACTATGCCTCCTTGATAGGCTCTGGACTTGATGATCCATAGGGTCCCTTTCAGCTCTACAGCTGCAAGATGATGATGATAACCCTTACTCTGGATTAACTCAGAAATGATCTGAGCGCAAGCTTTGGTAGGATCAGGAAAAAACAGGAGCAAAAAATATTGTTCTTTCTCCTCCTCCTACTGCAGACAAGTTGTCATCATAGCCACTAACTTTCAGTGTAGCAATGATAACTGCTCTGCATTCAAACCTGTCCTTCTTAATTCCTCAGCCATTAAATTCTTCTCTTTCCTGCACTTCTTTTCCCATTTATATCATTTCAAATAATTAGCTGTAACAATTTGTCTTTTCAGCGCTCATTGTGTGATCAAAATATTCCATCTTGCTGCATTTTGTGTACTGAATTTTTTAAAACCACATTGCTTTAGTGCTTCTTCATTAGTGACCTTCAACCACAAATGTGTACCATTCTGTAATTCATCCATCTTTCAAATGCTCCTGTCTTTTTCTATACCAGCTTGTACTGGAGTCATATTTCTGTGCCTTCACAAGGCCAACTTTATGCTTTTATTACACATGACATCAAGAAGCTGTTCCTAGCTATCTCTAATCTGATTTTATTGTACAGCTATGATTTCCTTTTTCATTCAACCAAGTTCCAAGGCACTTATAACTATCAACATGTTCCATACTTTCATTTTGTATCTTTAACTACATTCCTTGCTGTTTACCAGTTATCATGAACCTAAGTTCATTTATTATATTCTGCAATTATTTTACTGAGTAACCTTTGTACATTATCTAAATTGTCAGCCTTTAATATGGTGTTGCCTGCATACTGGATGTTGCTGATAGTCTCTCCACAGACAATGATACCATCATTTGAACCAGCAACTGCTTTTCTGAAGATGTTCTTGGAATACAAATGGAAAAATCATGGTAAAGTTATATATGCTTGTTGTATCCCTGTCATTATCTCTGTCGTCTATCACCTGATATTCAACTTCCATGGCAGCTTTTGCTGCCACTACAAGTTGTCATGTATACATCTCTATGTTGAATAAGGACTTTTGATTATCCAAGAGTCACATCTGCTTGGCATATTGGACTTTGTGAAAGGGTTTCTCACAACTAATAAAATGAGCCTATCTTTAGGCAGAAGAAAAAGTCCATCCTGAGACCAAGGGAACTCTGCAGAGGTATATTTTTCTCCCATCTAATTTTCTCTTCAAAACACATTATTAGAAAAAGCTTTGACGATCCATTCCTGTGAAAATAGGGTGGGGTGGCAGCTTTTAACCTCCTACAGATCCTGTTTCTTAGGATTTTCATCCAAATTGTAGAAAATTCTGGAAACTTCTACTGCTTGCTTCTCCTTTGAGAAGACCACTGCTGAGTCCTTGAAGCTTGCTTCCAAGCCTGATCTTAACAAGCTTTTCCAGTATCCCTGGTTATGATCAGACTATGTCAGAACTGACAAACCAACATATCATTCAGGCAACTCATGAGACACTCAAGAATGCTAACCAAGGAAGAATGAGAACACTAGAGCAATATGCTGGCAAAAAAGAAACTCGGGTAGTGAAGGCTCCGGTATCGGAACCCTGAGGTAAGCTGAGATAGGGAGGATGATGTGCCAGTTGAGTCACTGAACTCAGGATGGAGGAACAAACAACAGCAAACAGGAACTGCCACAGAGTGAGGACTGATGTGACTGAGATAATCTAACAGTACCGAGAAGAGTGGAAATGCACAATGGCAAAGGACTCAGGGTGGCAGGGAAGAAGAAAGGAGACAGATGGTATCCGTCCTTGAGGCAGAGGAAGGTATTGCTGTTGTTTAGTCATTCAATCATGCCCAACTTTTTGTGACCCCATGGACCAGAGCACGCCAAGCCCTCCTGTCTTCCTCTGCCTCCCGGAGTTGGGTCAAATTCATGTTGGTTGCTTTGATGACACTGTCCACCCATCTCGTCCTCGGTCGTCCCCTTCTCCTCTTGCCTTCAGACTTTCCCAACATCAGGGTCTTTTCCAGAGAGTCTTCTCTTCTCGTGAGATGGTCAAAGTACTGGAGCCTCAGCTTCAGGATTTGTCCTTCCAATGAGCACTCAGGGTTGATTTCCTTCAAAATGGATAGGTTTGTTCTCCGTGCAGTCCAGGAGACTCTCAAGAGCCTCCTCCAGCACCACAATTCAAAAGCATCAATTGGGCAACAGCATTACAGGCCAAGTGTTCTGTGGCTCCCAAATATAAATATAAAACATCAAGCCCAAGCTTTGGCCAAGCAGTAACATCACCCTTCCTGCCTTTCCACCATCATTTGGATCGGAAAAGACATTATCTCAGCCAAAACTGTGTCTGTCAGGGAAATAAATATAATTTTCACACCAAAAGGAAAGGAAAATCATAGAGCCTGACAGTTTCTTGAAGTCCTTCACTGGAAGAAAAGAAAAGCTTCCTAGACTTACTTGCTGAACACCTTCTCCTCCTACATCCCGCAACTGATGAATGCCTGGTACACTGCCAATCTTATCGACCTCATCCAAGAAGACAATTCCTGTAATTTAGAGGCAATTAATGTGAAGAGCGTTTGGGATGCACAAGAAATACAGTCTGTACACAGTCAAGGCCATCTTTTAAAAACTGAACAGGTTGCTATGACAATGTTATGAAATGCTACTGATTACATAAACCCTGTACAAAAGAACAAGCCAAGTAGTATGAGAAATTAATTAACAAGTATGTGAGGATCTACACAAACAAAACTTAGGCTTCCAATGTAAACAAGAACAGAAAAAGATGAATGAATACATTCTTTAGTGCCACTGCAGGGGGTGATTTTACCTTGCTGAGCTTTTTCTACATTATAGTTTGCATCCTGTAGTAGTTTTGCAATAACAGACTCGATATCTTCACCCACGTAGCCAGCTTGAGTCAAAGTGGTACAATCACAGATTGCAAAAGGAACATCCAGGCATTTTGCCAAAGTCTGAGCAAGTAGGGTTTTACCTAGGGTTCATTTAAAAGTGATTTTATTAATGAGCAAAAAATAAACTTTTTTAAAAATATATTCTCCCATCAGAAGATAATTACTAGCATCTTTTGTTTTTGTGCCAGCAGGGAAACAAAACAAAAAAGCAACAACAGAACAGATAATAATTCAGGCAAACTAGTATTTCAACAATTTTTGACTTACAGGATTTTTATACAATAAGCAACCAAGGATTGGCCCTATTTTAATGCAATAACATTGTGCATGTATAAAAAATATGCATTATTTTTATTAAACAACTCCAATATGACGATTGTATTTAACAAATATTAATGGTCAACAGAAATTAGGCTACAGTAATAAATCCATCAGTTTATTTGCATTCTATCTGAAAGTTAGGAAAGCTTAGGAAATTATCAACACAGTTTGTATTATATATGCAAAGCCAGATATGGCAGCATGTTTTGTTTTGTTTTGTTTTGTTTTGTTTGTTTGTTTATTTAATTTAATTTACTGTATATCCCGCCTATCTAGCCAACTCAGGACCACTCTAGGCAGCTAAAATATTTTGCTTTCAAGCAACCAAAATAATTCTGACGTCAAGGTGAACCCCTCCTCCCTTTCTAGGACATATTCATTCATCACTAACTGGAAAACTGTTAAATCCCCATGTTACATGGTTCACGGACTCTGTGTATTAAATCCATAATCGGCTCTTAGATGAGTGAATTCTATTTTGGTCTAAGAACAAGATGTATCAACTGGAAAGCTTTCAAAGAGATGGCAAGATATGTAGAAACAAATAAACTACAACCCATGTCCATCTTTATAAATGGATGTTACTCAAAAGGCAGACAACCTGTTCATGTAAATTTTGGAGCAGATTCACTATCTTATCTTGGTTTCAAAGATAGGCAGACAAAAGCAGACAACCTGTTCATGTAAAGTTTGGAGCAGATTCACTGTCTTATCTTATCTTGGTTTCAAAGATAGGCAGATGGCATTTAGAACTGCTGAAATGTAATTCGACTGAGAGGAATTGTTAAGCTAGCTGTGTGCACAGAGCTCTTCTTTATGATACAACTGACCACACAAGCTCTGTACTTTTGCAAAAGGAATCTAATTCAACCCGAAGGCTAGAGTGGTCATCTGACCAGATAGGCATGCTCTGTACTTTTGCAAAAGGAATCTTATTCAACCCGAAGACTGAACAGATAGGCGAGGCAAAAATACAATAAATAAATAAAATAAATAGCTATCCTGCCAACAAGATTAATCTGGGCAATCTCGCAATCCATTACTCTAAAAAAATAATTAATTCACTTCAAATATCCTGTAAAGCTGCAATTGCTTAAAAGTAGACATTTGTCCAGGGCATTCTATGATACGCACCTGAGCCAGTTGGTCCCAGCAGCAAAATGTTACTTTTTTCAAGCTTGATGTCATCATGGGCTGAATCTAATACTTCACCTCCCCGCTTCTCCTGGGGCATCTGTTGATTCACCTGCTGCTGCACTGATGCTCCTAGTGCATTGCCATGGGGGCTAATACCAGCAATCTGAAGAAGTTCTGAAATTTACATATCACTCCTGATTGAGAATCAAATGAATTCAACTTCCAACAGTCTGAGAAAACATAAACTGCACAGTTTAACATTTTCCCCCCATGCAGTTCCAAATAGATCGACCTCAAAGTAATGAGAGAAACAACATTCAAAAACAGGGTTGCAACACACAGTCAACACCATGGGAGGATTTAGTTTTGAACAAATGTTTTAGAAACAGCTCAGGAACATTCTGATTAAAATGTGAAGGGAGAAACTATTTTTATAGAAGTTATTTTTCTGTGTTACAAAACAAGTCTACAGATAAATGTTAAAGGTAATTAAAACACACTTAGGTGCTACAGTAAATGGTAAAATTCTTTAAAGGTTAGACAGCTAACACAGATTGATGGCTAGGAGGAGGATTTCTCTGACATGTCATTTTGCTCCCCGGCAACCTATGTTTGAGCTTATGGGTGAGTCTGAACATGTCTATGAGTAATCTGGTGAGAAAGGCGAGATTACTCATACACATGTTTGAATTTGCTTATGGGTTCAAATGCAGGTTGCAGGGAAAATGTGAAATGTAACAGAAATCCTCCCCCTATTGATGACTGTGAAATACTGATCTAGATGTAGGTGAAATAACTGAATATTATCCTATTCCTTGCCATTCTTTTTTATTCAGGTCCATCAAGGAGGAAACAATTAAGATTTTGGGGACATCTCCTTTGTCTCTTCTATCATTTTATAATTGGAGCCACTGCAATTAACAAATTATAGTAGAGTAGGTTCACTGAATCAGTGGACATTTGGTGGGCCACCTCTTCTGTAAGATCCATTGATTCAAATAGGCATACTCTAGTTGCAACTGAATTTCAGCCATGGCAATAGAGGGTTTTCTCTGCAGGATCCAAAAAATGCTAGAATGGCCTTTTCATGGATAGGAAGTCTGTGCTTTATTTCACTGCACTCCTTAGAAACAAGGAGCAGCCAAGCAGGATTGACCAGGCAGGGTACACAAACATAACATCACTGTAATGATCCAACACTCTGGAATTCTGCTTTATTATCACATCAGTGCTACTACCAGGAGAAGGGATCCAGGCCTATCCTTTCTCAAGAGGAAGCATTCTCAAGAGGAGGCCTGCTGCACTGCTATTTTTGAAAATAATACAATCTAGCTTTGTGTTACCGTTTCTGTAGCCACAACCAAAATGTCACTCATAGGTGCTGCTCCCAGATTCTGGAACTCCCTCCCGTAATACAGTCTAGCTTTGTGTTACCGTTTCTATAGCCACAACCAAAATGCCACTGCCAGATTCTGGAACTCTGGAACGTTTTTGGCGTTGCTTTTGTTTACCGTGTCATAGTGTGGCATTTGGCCCTTTCTAATATTTGTATACTTACTGCTTTTAAGGCCCCATCTTCGCTGTCCTTCCATAATAAGACCAAGACCTTTGTCTTCAAGCAAGCCTTTCATTACGGAGTGGCTGCCTGATTGTTGTGCCTTTTACTGCTTTGAATGGGTTTTGGTGTTGTTTTTGTTTACCGTGTCATAGTGTGGTATTTGGCCCTTTCTAATATTTGTATATTTACTGCTTTTAGCAGTAAATATTGTCTTTTAATGATGTAAGCCACCTTTCATCTTTTTTTAAGAAGAAAGGCGGGTAAAAATATTTTAGGTAAATAAAATAGTCACATTCAGAAAACAAAATATTGCAGAGGAGGACATGAGGGGAGCCCACTTACTTGTAAATCTGTACTCATCCTCCCGTCTTCTGATTTCTAATTCTAAGAGAGAGGATGACAACAGTAATACTAGTAGAGAGAGATATCAAGAATCATTACATTTTCTTCACCTCTTGCCCTCTTCTGAATACAGACTGAGCAATGAATTTCAATTACAAGAAAATCTCCACATCAACAAGCATTTTATGGACTACCATGACAACAGTAATACTAGTAGAGAGAGATATCAAGAATCATTACATTTTCTTCACCTCTTGCCCTCTTCTGAATACAGATTTATTGAGCAATGAATTTCAATTACAAGAAAATTTCCACATCAACAAGCATTTTATGGACTACCTTATTTTTGACACCCATTTAATTCTATACACACACAGGTATAGAAGGTGTCATTGAAATAATTATGTTAAAGAGCTTGTAATAAACTCATTAACAATTTTAAAAGGAATCTTCGTGAAATTTAAGAGCATAAAATGGCTCTTAACAGTTTTATCAGTATATTTAACTTATTTTGAAGGAACCAGAAGTATCCTACATATTGCAATCACACTTGAAACTTTACTGAATTTCAAAGCAGCTTGTACTGTTATGTAAGAACATCAATAAGGTACTAGCATAGTCTCAAATATCATTTAACTGCAGGATAGCTCAGTGATTTACTTGGCTGCAGAAGCAGAGGTTGGGAGTTTTGATTCCCCACTTGGGCCTCCTTGACAGGGGCTGGACTTGATGATCTATTGGGCCCCTTCTAGCTCTGTAGAGCTAAGATTATTACATCTTTTTTTAAAAAAAAAGTGAATTAAGACTTTATCCATAATAGTTTCATTCTCCTGCACAGCTGAGTCAAATTAGTTGCTTTGTTTTGTACATACTATTCCTTACTGCATTCTTGTTTGCCTAAGAGCAGCAAGTCTGCCATACTGACATGGCTTCTGTGGCCTTGGCTGTTTGTTTTCCTTGTGACTAAAATAGATACGCCTGAACTGAGATATCTGTCCAGGAAGAATACATGAGCCTATGTTACATGCTGGCTGAAAGATTCCTTAAGTGAAGATAATTTATTCGTATCTTCTGCCTCAAAGAAGTCACCTTTTGTGCACATATAATGAAAATAATGTATGGCTATAGTGTGCATGTACAGTATATCACAGAAGTGAGTACACTCCCTCACACTTCATAAATATTTTAGTATATCTAAAATATAAATATTTATAAAAATATTTATAAAATGTGAGGGGGTGTACTCACTTCTGTGATATACTGTAAGAACAAACTGGTATTCTAAAGGCAGAATTCAGATATAAAATCTCTCCCATCAGGATGCAGTAGAGTGAACCGATAAAATGCATGGTCATTCCACCATCTCCAGTTTTTTTTAAAAAGTTCCACACAATTTTCCTTCCATCACCTTACAGCAGATATTTCATCAAACTGTGGCAAAGTGAAATGGGAAACAAGGCCATTTCAGGAATCGGATGCAAGATCAGCTCCCTTGGGCTCCTCATCCCCCTGAACCAGTGGTTAAAAGAACCATTATTCAATTGCTGCCTGAATCTGCTTTTTCTTCTTCTCCCTCATCATCCTTTTCTCCTCTAAATTTAGTTTGCTGTAGGCAAAGATTTTTATTTTATTAATTACACACAAACTATTTTGGAACTCTTTTTGACTAAAGAGTGGGACAAAAATGCTGTGAATAAGAAATTACTATATTTTAGCATGTTCTTAACACATGTGAAGAATCTGGCAAAAAGATTCACTGCTCTGTGAAAGTGACTGCTAGGTGTCTGAGTTAGAGAGAGGGGGAGAGGTTTCCAGCTAATTGAGTGCCCACATCTGGTTGGTATGTTATCTGTGTGAGCCAAGGTCAAATGAATCTCTTCCTGTGGTATCTTAATTGCAAAAACTTGTTTCAGACAGATTCCAGGGTGGAGGGATGAGAAAAAGTTACTCCCTGCCAGAAGGTTCCAAGCAAATGGAAATTTGATTTTTTGGGGGGTGGTGGGGGAGAGCACCAAAAGATACAGAAGTGGATGATAGGTATAAAGGTTGTTCAGCCAATGGAGGTCACAAGCTCTTGCCAAGGTTTCACTTAGCTCGCTTAGCTTTTATTTGGTTAATCTCTTAGGAGAATGTAATGCATGCCAGTTACTCTGCAAAAACAGCACAACTACTGGAACTATGCTACAGCTTCAATGAAATGCAAGTATTAGTGTAGGTTAGTTAGTTTTATTATTTTATGTGGGAATTACTCTGAAATTGCCTAGTGTCTTAACAGTCTCTCAATTTATGAAATGTGAGGGGGAAAGAACAGGAGTTCTGACTCCTGTCCTCTGAAGATGCCGGTCACAGAGACTGGTGAAACTTTAGGAAGAAAAACCTAAGAACACGGCCAAACAGCCTGGAAAACTGACAACAACCATCAGATCTCGGCCGTGAAAGCCTTCTCTGAATCGTTTTAAGCCTTGTATTTTGTTACAGATGTGCTTCACATCTTTTTTATCTCTTGGAAACTGTGAATCTTCTCTGAATCGTTTTTAAGCCTTGTATTTTGTTACAGATGTCCTTACATCTTTTTTATCTCTTGGAAACTGTGAATTCACTTTTGAATCTTTACAACTTTTTTCAACCTCTTTAATAATATAGTAATATATTTCCAGTTGTGTGGTTGAAATACTGAAGAAGGTGCCTTGGATTTGGGATTTTAAGTATTCTGTGGGAGTTTTGGCATTCCTGCCTTACAAGGTGGTTTGTGGATTTAAGCGAGCCACCTTGTGGTTTTTGGTTACTCCCTGGAGCACTGAAGGAGCAAAAGGCTTGGGAGAGGGGGTCACAGAGGAAGCTCCTTCCCAACCAGCAGTGCTCTTAAAGTACCCATGCCAGAACAGTCAGGGACAGTGTGGCTTAGTGGTCAGTGGATCCTCTCCGTGGTGGCCAACATCTTAACAACATCTGATTATATTAATTATTTAATTTAGGTGGAGACAAGGAGATAACTTTGACAGAAATCCATTCCTCATGGAGACAAATAACAAGCACAGCAATGCAAAAAAAATCTGTCCTATTTAACTGCCAATTGCACTAGGATTATAGAAAGAGGGGACAATGGCAGGCAACTTGTACATACAACATAAAAAGCTATACAAACCTCTTGGTGTTAAAGACATTTGCTTTTCAACTTCAGCTTGTTGTCTCAAATTGGCAGGGATATTGTTATAGATTCTCTTGTAATGATTATACACAGCAACCGAAAGCACCTTCTTGGCAAAACACTGGCCAACAACGTATCTGTCGAGGTAGTTATAGATCTGGCAAAAAGACAACAGATTCTCAATACTGGAAGGTGCTCCGTTAATACATGTGACAAGTTATCATTCTCTTCCAGTGGAATGTAAAAAATCCCACAAATAATGTCCCACTACAAAATTCTCAGGTGAGCCTACATTAATAACAAAGAATCTTCTCTGTTTCCACATTCATTCTTAACATACCAAAGTCTTAAGTTTTCTTTCTGAACCAAAAGGTCCTCTGGAATAGCTTGCGCCCACGAGCTGTCAAAACCTGGATTCTAGTCAGTGCCAGATAATTCACTGCTACAAACCACATGAATTTGATTACTCCCAGAAGTAGCTTTCAAAATGTTTCTATCTACACAGAAGAGAGTGGGAAATTGCGGATTTCCACATAACTTCCTGGACTACAACTCCCATCTGCCCTGCCAACACAGGCAGTAGTCCTTGGGATGTGATGGGACCTGCAATTCAACATCAACCAGAAAACCACAGCTACCCACTCATTCCACAAAGTATTAAGCCATTAATCAAATCTCAGGAACGAGTAACACCTATCAAAGCAGAGGTTTACTATGTTTTTGCAAAATGAGACACAGAACTGTAGCCTTCCTTCATATTTAGGTTTACATGCTACATTTTAACATTGTAAACTTAAAATAATAGACACATACAAGAGGGCCAAAACATGATAAATCCAATGAAATGAAGACATTGTACTTTTTTGGGTGGAGGCGGTGGCTTCTTTTGGAAAGCTAACTTCACCGCTTCAGCTGCTGACTCTGGCTCTTTAACAATGCTTTTCTTGGAGTCTGCTTCTGACAATACAACGAAGAAGTGGTGGCATTTTTCACATTTCACGAAACGGGTGGAAGCTGCAGGGACCACAGAAATGAATAAATTCACAATAGTCTGGTGATAACTGATATTACTGTCCAGCTAGAAAGAACTAATGGAAGTCAAGCTGACAGAACAATCTGAATGCTTTAGAGTAGAGATGGGGGTATTCGTATATGAGTATTCCCCCCCCCCCATCACAGGTGCAGATAACAAGGGTAAAGCCCCCTGGGGCCAGACCGGTCACTCACCATTCTGCTGCTGTGGGCTCCAGACTCCCTATCGCTCCAGAGCTTGTGGTAGATTAGCCATTCCTGGCAGAAGGCAGGATGCCAGCCTGGCCACTCACTATTCTGCTGCTGCAGGCTCCAGACTCCCTTCCTATCGCTCCAGAGCTCGTGGTAGATTAGCCACTCCTGGCAGAAGGCAGGATGACAAGCGCCTCTGCCAGGTCAAAGAGTGGCTAATCCATCACAAGCAACGGAGAGATAGGAAGGCACCACGGAGCTGGTGGTAGCAGCAGAATCATGAGTGGTCGGTCTGGCAAGAGATGCAAAGGCACTACGGACCTGGTGGCAGCAGTAGAATCGTGATTGGTCGGTCTGGCCCCGGACTCTCATTATTTGCACCTGTGGTGGGGTATTTGTATATGAATATGAATACCCCCCGGACTCTCACTATTCGCACCTGTGGGGAGGGGTATTCGTATATGAATATGAATACCCCCATCTCTAGTTTAGAGATTTCCATATATATTTCAGCTTCAATTCTAAAGCACAGCGCCTGTCAGTCATTTACAAAAAAGCACACTTAAAACTGAACTGAATTTGGAGTTTAAATACTAAATTTGCATACAATAACACATTTTGGGCACATTTCCAATTTCAAACTCAAATTTTATAACAGATTTCCAAAATACATTTTATAAAAATTTCATGCTGAATTTATTGTCTGAAAAAAAAGGAAAGAGAAAAGAAAAAAAGTCAACTTTCATTTCATTTTCCCACATTCACAGCACATTTTAAAACAATTTACATGATAAAGGTCAGGTTTTCCCCCTACACATCTAAGATGGCTTATGTTAAGAAAAACATGGATAGAATGCTGTTAAATAAAACATTTGTTTGAAGAGCTAGGTTCTACATGTGATTTCATTTGTGTGCCTTCTACAATCATTCCAAAAGGAAAAAACAAAAAATCCAACCAACTGCTGCCACCTAGTTGTCAGGAGTATGTGTTAGCACAAAGTGACTCTCAGGGCATTAGTATGTTAGAGGCAGGTAAACTGTAAATAGATCCAGAATCTCTGAACTTTAAACAAAAGATGGCAGCAATTGCTTTCCACTTACCAGGAAGAAATTTTACACCAGCCTGTTATGGTGTCCAACATAGAAATGCATTTTAAGAATTCTACACAGCCCAGGGATAATCATCAAGGTCAGAAGGTTTGTCGTTCAGCATCAAGGCTCCAAGTTATGTGTCCGCTAACTGTCCTTTTCTCTGTCTTATTTCCAAGACTACTTTAGATATTCAGCCCAAAGCTAATAACTCATATTACAAGTTTCCAGTGTTGCTGTTGTGCAACATAAACCATTCCAGGTTCCAAAAATAGATAAAAAACAGGCAGGAATAACTGACTTTTAAAAAAATCATTATCCCCTCAAGACAACACTTCAATTCTTTATTTAATAGCAGGGACAAATGAATAGTAAAAATATTACCAGATCATATTCTAAGTAGCAACAATTTTGCCAGGAGAATAATCAGCTACAAATATCTTAGTACTGGGTTTTGTCTTATGTAACAAGGAATGTACCAAATGAAGCAACAATTTTAATTGCACCTGCCTTAAATTTCCCACCAGTACAGCTTATTTGTTTATGCTACTATTGTTAAAGTTTGTGCTAGAAAATAGTGTGGTCTGCTGAAAAAAAGATATGAATCATATGTGATGGGGACAGCATATCTGCTATTCGTGTGTCTATCTTATTCACCAATAAACCAGGGCATGGAACCCAATTTCTACAATGAAATATGCACAAAGGCACACACCCTTCCACAATAAATCCCTGTATTCCAACACAGAGCCATAGTCAGTGTCAAGGAGTCTGAATCCCTTCTGAGAAACCCTTGAAATATTCTTGGTTTTAGGTTCAACCCAAGACTTTTCACAATAGGCAACAGGTCTGAACTGGCTACCTCATTTGTTTTTAAATCATTTGACTATCATGACATACTGTAGGCATCCTTAAGTCTCAAGAGACTATGGTATGCTGTGAATAGAGGATTTGGAACAGCGTTTAGTGTGGCTCAGAAGGCCAATTCGAGAGTGACCATCCCTTCCACACTGAAGACAAATACAATCTGTCCCCTGTCCAGCTTCCTGATTTTGCTGCTTTTGGGACTGCGTCTTTGCCTCAGCCTGCTGGACAAGGGTCTCTTCAAATTGGGACAGGCCATGCTGCATCACCTGCCTCCCGGCTGGATGTTCAGATGTCAAGGTTTCCCATCTGTCGAGGTCTATTCCTAAGGCCTTCAGATCCTGCTTGCAGATGTCCTCGTATTGCAGCTGTGGTCTCCCTCTGGGGCGATTTCCCTGCAGTAATTCTCCATACAGAAGATCCTTTGGAATGCCACCATCAGCCATTCTCATGACATGATCAAGCCAATGTAGACGTCATGACATCATGACAACTAACATTAGAAATAGCAATTATTTGCCACTGGCTGCAATTACACATTGGGAGGTTCACTTCTGCTAATTTATAAGATCTATAAAGTTAAAGCCTTGTTTTCAAAAATCTTTCTAAAGCTAGGCTAAAAGGAACTATTCTTCTTAAATAGACTTAGATCACCAGATACTACCGTGTTTTCCCAAAAATAAGATAGGGTCTTATACAATAAATTTTGCTCCAAAAAAACACATTAGGGCTTATTTTCAGGGGATGTTTTATTTTTTTCATGTATAATGATCTATGTTTATTCAAATACCTCATAATTTTTCTTGCAGGGGGGATGGGGAAAGCTATACAAAAGGGGAAGCTACTAGCTAGGAAACAGGCCCAACTCACGCTGTGTCACACCCTTCCTACCTTACTCTTAAAGGCTGAGGCCCTCCTGATAACAATATGAGTTTAATCTATCTCCTGATTAGATTATTGTAATAAACCCTGCATGGTGGCTACTCTCAAAAAGCATTCAGAAGCTACAACTAGAGAAAAATGTAGGGGATTAGATTGTTGTCTGATGCACACTTTAGAGACCATATATTATTATTTTTTAACTGTGCACCAGCTTCCAATTTATTTCCCAGCTCAATTCAAGGTGCTGGCTTTGATCTATAAAAGCCCCAAATAGCACGGGTCAGGATATCTGGAAGGCAAGCCTTCTCTCATGCATAACTGCCTGGACTTTGAAATCTTCAACAAATGCTCTGTTACATCTCCTGCTACCCCAAGAGGCAAGGTTGGTAGTTACAAATGACAGGACTCTCTGTACAGCAGAAACTTGATTACGAAACTTAACTATCAAGGAAGTTAGGTTTGACTCCATCTCTATTCTGCCTCTGATAGGTAACTAAAATTCTACTGTTCTAAAGGTTTTAATCTGATGGCTTAAATTTTTATTTAATAATGTTAACCTACAGTAAAATGCTTTGGAAGAAAGGCAATAAACAAATGCTTTAAACCAATGCATCTAAAGTGACAATGTATAGTGAGTTAGGTGAGACACGATGCAGGGTTCAACTTTTCTTGACAACAAAAAGCAGACCCCACAGTTCCACTTGATTCACATTAAGGGAAAAGCACACAAATGTAGATATTCCTGGTATAGCTATTCTGATCTCAATTACACCAAATATCAGCAAAGCATATCTCTAGGTACAACATACAGATCCGATAGAGTTTCATTTCACCATATCTTGGAAATTCAGGGTCAAATTTATGTCAATATTAATATGTTACCTATGAGCTTGGATCTGCACCAAACTCCTTAAGGACACCTCCTGCAAAAAAGGCACCAAGACAGACATGAAGGCCATTGCCTACTACTTTCCTGAAGGACAGCTGTTCCATGCCAGAGTGCCAGAAACCAACAGGCTATTTCGCCATGCTCCTCTCCCTCCTTTTTCTGGATCAAAAACATTTTATTTTTGGAATGGCCTTGTGTGTGCCCATTCAACAAGTTCTGCCAATAGTTTCATATAAGTACATAATTTTTGCATGCTATGCCTTTATAGTGCCAGAGCCTACCTATGTTCTACTAATGAAGCTGTCATTTCTATTGCTCGGCTTTGCAGAATAAAGCAGCATGGGGCTGCAGCAGATACAACGCTAATTAGATCACAAACAGTTGGGTCCTGCTGAGGAGATTCACCTTAGAAAAGGCCCTCTAGAGCAGTGGTCCCCACCACCACATTGGGCCTCCAGATGTTCTTTGACTACGACTCCCAAAAGCCTTCACCACCATCTCTGCTGGCCAGGATTTCTGGGAGTTGAAGTCCAAGAACATCTGGAGGCCCAAGGTTGGGGACCACTGCTCTAGAGACAAAACCATAAAGAAGAAAAATATATTATACATTTCTTTCCTCTCCTTAAAATAAATTTGGTGGCATCTATTCTACTGAGCAATAAAGATGCCAAAAAAAAGACGACACATACACCAAATTTCAATCAGACAGTTTCATTTCTGCCACTGACCTGTAATGACTGTAGGCCTGTGTAGGTACTGCATGACTTCTTCTACACAGAATCATAAAATAGTGAAGGTGGTAGGGGCCTATAAGGCCATCAAGTCCAACCCCCTGCTCAATACAGAAATCTGAATCAAAGTACATCTGACAGGTGGTTGTCTAATGTTCTCTTGGATGCCTGCAGTGTTGGAGCACTTACTACCTCCCAAGGTAATTGATCCCATTGCCCTCCTGCTCTAATAGTTACGACATTTTCCCTGATATTCAACCAAAATCTGGCTTCCTGTAACTCAAGCCCATTATTGCATGTCCTGCACTCTTGGATGATCGAGAACAAATCATGCC